CCTTAGGAGTATTTGTGAGACACCAAATCTGTTAAATAATAAAAGCATCATGCTCAGGAGTCTCTCATCAGTGTTTGAGGTGGAGCTGACCCATCATGTTCATGACAGCAGACTAGCTGGACTAAAGGTGCTCTCATACAACTTTTTTTAAGGGAGTAGGGAAAAAGAAATACATAAAATTAAGCCTTCATTTTTGAAGGGGAGATCTGTGTTGTGAAGGCTGTCCCCATTGTAGGAGCTTCTCGATGCCCCTGCACTTTTCCCAGTGGGGGTGGCAGCACATGCTGGAGCTGGAGCAGGGGCATGAGCACCACAGGCATTGCTGACTGGACTAGTCCTCAAGACCAAGTTAAAGCTGCTCTCTCTTCTCCTTTAGCTCAGTGAATACCTTTATTTGGGGTGCTCATCTTCTGGCCACCTGCTGATGATCAAGCCTGTAGGAATAATTTACCACCAGATTCAAAAGCCACTTGGGCAGGAGAGAGTGGCACCGTGGACAGCATGACTGCGCTAACTTGACACTGTATCACTAATAGTGTCATTAAAATGCAAAAAAAAAAAAAAAAAAAAAGCATTTCTAAAAGTGATGATGAACTCTGGTTAAAAATCAATTACTGCCACAAGAAATTTTGGTTTAAATTTAAATATCCCTAAGTAGATTATGTCTATGATCCTGAAGATGACAAAGGGGTTTTAGCATGATAGTAACCATTTCTCAGTACAGATTTCCTGGCTATGGTTCAATAATGAGGCAAAGCTCCTGCCCTCCTACCACCGAGGACAAGTGGTGTGGCATGACAGCACAGTGAGGGGCTTTCTGGGCATCCCACCTCGGTATCCTGTTTCAGGCTGGGTACTTCAGAAACTTCTTCACATAACACACTCTCTCTTCAATTCAAATGATTCTTTTTTTATTGAGGGGATAGAAACAAAACATAAACTACCATTTTTAATGCACATTTTTTAGTTCTTAATTTTCCAGCATTAGTCCCCTCAAAGCCACATCAGCTCTAATTCTAATCTTAGGAAAAGAGATTCTCTTCTCTTACATTTCTTCTTCTGGTAAGGGAGGAAACTAAATGATCAAAGGATTGAAATTAATTCAGGCTTGCAAGAATACTCACTTGCAGTTTCAAAACCCTTTCCAGCTCTTTCTTTGCTTTCACATTCTTGTCAAGGAAGGTGTGGGTGTATCTGCTCTGATTTGCTGAAGAGTGTTTAGCCCTCCAGGACACAAACTTAGCATCTCTTCATTCCCCCCCATTCTTGCACTTGCTACATCCTAACATTTTTACTTGGGATGCTCTTAACTGGTGATTGATTGACATCCCTTTTGTTTACATGTCTTTTCTAGATGTAAGCAAGAGGTAAAGCTGAAGCTTTGGGGATACATCAGCATCTCCAGGAAAATCAGAACTCCTTAATATTCTCTTCCAGACTAATCTTATCAAGACTCTTTCCAATGTGTGGTGGCCAGATTAATCTGTTGATAGTCTGGTTTCACAGGGTATAGAGCCTGGTTTCCTGATTATTTTCTTCCTTGTAGTGGATGATTCATATTGACAAAATGGGTGAACTGTAACATCACTGGGTGATGTTGCATTTTGATTTAATAGGCCCCTGTGGTTGTGTCAGGAACAAAATAAAACACTATTGATTTCAGAGGCTTGATCTGTTAATGCCTTTGCAGCTATGACAGTTGAAAACCCAATGCATTCCTGGGGAAAAAACTCTACTTTGTCAAGGCGGTTTTGTTTTATAACTTGTTTCAGGGCAATGTGGTAATGTTACACAGTATCTGATTGCCATGTGTCTGTAACACCTTAAAATCCTTGAGTTTCTCACACCTGGTGTGTATGTGAAGGGGAGCAACCAGAACAAAAATGTCTGTACTCATAGTGCTACTTCTGATCAGCTCCTTCTGGATGACAGGGGAAATCAGTGCTCTTTGACTGACCTCCTGTTAGTCTCCAGACCATATTCAAAGCTGCTTTTTTAGGGTTTTGGTCCTGAATTGATAAAATCTGCTCTTTGTAACTATCCTTCCATTTATGCCTCTCTAGAATTAGAGCTCTGATCTATGTAGATATAACCTGGACTGTTTTTTCAGCATGATTGCAGGTTGCTTCAGTTTTAGTTTTGTTTACTTGCATGGAGCAAACAGCTTCAAGTCTGAAAATCTGAAATAAATGCTGAGGGCCTGAAGTCGTGAGCCAGGTCTCAGCTGCAGAAAGATATTCCACCCTATAGCTGAAGTTTATTATCCCTGCTGCTGTACTACAGCCCTCCAGGTTTGGCTTCATCCCATGTTTTTCCTTTCATGTGCGGTGCTGGATATTTCTAGACTGTCATTCACTCCTTTTCTCACTTGTCACCCTTAAGCAAACAGCAAAGATAAAACACAAAGTCTAAAGAATGTTTATGTTAGAAGTTCCTTGAAGCTGCAGGGGAATGAATGACATGTGGACATCTATATCTCAAAAATCGATGAGATGCAAAAGCTGAAGGGCAGGGAGATTAATGTGTGATGGAAAGGATTTAATAGTCTTGCTGGTTCCATGCCCCTGCCTAGGGGCAGGTTTTGTCACAACAAAGCAATTGCCAGCAGATATTTGTCTAGTCAGGTCTTAAAGATCTCAGTGATGGATGTTGTCTCACCTCTCTGGCCACTGTCAAGGGCTCCATTGTCCTTATGAGTAACAAACATGCTGAGAGATCCCACACCAAACATCTAATGCCAGTCTTTTCCTTCGGAATGAGACTTAGTTATATTTTGGTTTGCAGGTTATGGAAAGCTGACTGACTTCATACCTCAGTCCTCCAACCTCTTATATCATTATTTGCATGTCTCTTGCAGTCTCCTGAAAATCTCCAGGTCTTTTCATGTTTTTTGAAGGGCATTCTTTCTGGTTATGCTCTTGGCTTTTCTCTGGACACTTGCCAGCTGGTCCATGTCTTTCTTGAAATCCAGCCTCTAGAACTTCAGTTCACTGGATTGCCCAGGGAGGTTTTGGAGTCTCCCTCCTTGTAGATATTCAAAAGTCTTGTGGGTATTTTTCTGAGCAGCCAGCTCTAGGTAGCTCGGTTTCAGCAGAGAGGTTGGACCAGATGATCTCCAGAGGTCCTGCCCTGCTCACCCATCCCATGAGCCTGTGATCTGAGGCTTTGCTGAGTGTCACAATTTTACCAAGGTTCAGTGAGGGCTGAGCATGAACCAATGCATGCCCAGGTGGCCAAAGAGGCATCCTGGCCTGGATCAGCAATAGTGTGGCCAGCAGGACCAGGGCAGGGATTGTCACCCTGTACTGGGCCCTGGTGAGGTGACACCTTGAGTGATGTGTCCAGTTCTGGGCCCCTCAATTCAGGAAGGACATCGAGGGGTTCTGGAGCGTGTCCAGAGAAGGGCAATGGAGCTGGGGAAGGGTCTGGAGTCGCTGTGAGGAACGGCTGAGGGAGCCAGGAGTGTTTAGACTGGAGAAAAGGAAGCTCAGGGGTCACTTTATTGCTCTCTGCACCTGCCTGAGAGGAGGTTGTAGCCAGGAGTGGTCTCCTCTTGGAGTAACAAGTAATAGCACAAGAGGAAATGGCCCCAAGTTGTGCCAGGGGAGGGTTAGATTCGATATTAGGGAAAAAATTCTTCACAAAGGGTTGCCAAGCATTAGAACAGGCTGTCTGGTAAAGTGATTGAGTCACCATCCCTGGAGGTATGTAAAGGACCTGTGGCTGTGGCATTTAGGGACATGGTTTAACGGAATTGTAGAATTCTTAAGGTTCGAAAAGACCTTTAAAATGATCAAGTACAACTGTCAACCTAACACCAGCACCATGTTCACCATTAAATCATGTCCTCAAGTGCTATGTCCACACGCTTCTTCAACATTTCCAAGGATGGTGAATCTCAGTTGTGAAGTTGGCAGTACCAGGTTAATGGTTAGACTTGGTGATCTTAGAGCCTTTTCCAACCTAAACTCTTCAATGTTTCTATTTAAATACACCTTCTATAGAGAGGGAAGGTGAAGTGTTTGTAAAAGTCCAGGAAATTATGGTTAATTTAAACAACCAAATGTTTTCCCTGTCATGCTGTCCTCAACTCAGTGAAATTTGTTCCCTTGTCTGTCTTTTTAAAAATGTAGTTCTCTGTTTTATTGCTGGCTTTCGGTGGATTTCACAATACTTACAGCAGGATTAGGACCTCATTATTGATTGATACTTAACAATTGGATTGCCTACATGGAGCAATATTAAGAATAATCTGTAGAATTATAATTTTTAAAATCATTCTTCAGGTTTCACTAAATGGGAAAAATACTTGACTAAATATTCAATCTCTGCAGAAATTAGAACTGCCTGAATTAGACCAATAAATGAACAAAAATATCTTTAAGTGCTCATGCCTACAAGTTTTCATCCCTTTACTAGCAAAGTAACACTGTCTGTAACTGGCTGAATTAGGACATGTATTTCTCAATCCTCTTTCTTGGCTATAGATAAAATAACGACTGCTCCAGCTGCTCTTATGAGCTACTACCTCATGCTATGGGTTGTGCCTTGTCCTACACAGTAATACAGAGGAAAAAAAAATTAGAAAGTGAACCAATGTTCTCCTGTATGCAGTGCTGGTACATGAGTAAACCAGAAACCATGTAATCTAAGGAAAACTAAAGAAACCATGTCTTAAATTTGATTTTAAATACTTTAAAACCCCACAAAACTTCAGTTAAGTTTTTTCCTTCCTGGGAATGATTATCTTGGGAAATTTGTCGAGCATGTATTTTTACTGTGGGGTAAAGCAGCTTGTAAGCACAGGTCTGGTGTGCCAGGGAATGTCTGTCTGTGGGCAGGCTTTTATTTAGTGTCATATCCCTGAGACATACACTTAAAATAGTTTGGAATTTCCAGCTTATTTCTTGCCTTTGGTGCTGGTTTTGTCCACATGCTCCTGTCTTCTTCCATTCTGTGTGAAATGGCCTTCTTGAAGGCAGAGATGAAGATTTTCCTCTATGAGACACACATACACCTGGGTGGGTGTTTGATTTTCTACTGGTGCAGCCCTTAACAGACCTGCAACCTCAGTGCAGTTTGTTGAAGTATGTGATCATATTTTAACAGGCAGAAGACGTGCATTTCTCATATGTACCTTTCTACATACCCCCCTTTTCTATATTTAGTTTCTCTTTTTATTCAAATTTATTCTCTACATTTAATAATACATTCATTTTAATTTGAAGTCAAATCTTAAAGCCACTATTAGAACACAAATGTGTTTAGGAAAATTTCTTCAAGAAGCCCATATATACCTTTAGCATCTGTTAGTGACTTGCTGTGAATTAAAAAGGCTTGAATATGGGTCTCCCCAGAGGTAAAAATACTGTGATGAAATCTCTGCATGTCCTTTGCAGTGGAAGCTTCCTTCTCAGTTTGTTTACAGATATTAATGGATGTTAACATTCCTGACTAAAGTCTGTGACCCAGCTGTCTAGAATCCATGTGCCTTTTTCAGATGATGAGTGGTACCTCTGCCAGGTGACACTCCTGGCCCCAGAAGAGGAGCTTCTGTCCTGGGGCATGTACCCGTACCCGTACCTGGCACGCGTCGATCCCGATGCGCGCAAGGGCGCTCTCATCTACCAGCTCGTGGCCCGCTACAGCAGCCATGGGAACACCACCTCTGGCATCACTTACACACTCGTTGCAGGTAGGGCTGGTCTGAACAAAAAGGTACAATTGTCTTTACTTGCAGATGTTTCTTACAAGTTCCCATTTCATAATTTCATTGGTAGGTTTTTTCCTTGGGGAATCCTTAAAGACCCAGCAAGTAGGAGCTGGAAGTGCTGGTAGTAAAAGCAATGTGGATGGGAATCTTTCTTGTTGCTATTTTCTTTGCATATTTTGAAATTGATGGCAGCTTTACTATTAACTTAAGGCTCTATTTCTTACTCATTCTTATTTCTTTTACACTGTACTGGTCAGCAAAAGAGTGTGAGTGAAAGATAAGGTGAGCAACTGGAAAGCTAAAAAGAAGTGCATACAAGGACATAGGTGGATGAGTTGGGGATAGCTCACCTTGAAATAGTGAAGCCACAAATGTTCCTGCTGTGGGGCTTGTCTCAGAGCAGTTTGTGCTTGTATTGTAGGTGGTGAGGAGCGATTCCGAGTGGATAAGGACACTGGCATTATCATGACGACTGGCTTGCCTTTGACATGGAACAAGGAGTATGTGGTTACTGTGGAAGCCTCTGATGAACATGGCAACAAGAGCCCCTACGCCTCCGTTTCCATCCTGGCAGGCTCCCGACCTCCACAGTTCACCAACATGTCCTACAGTGTATTTGTCCCTGAAAACACTCCAGCAGGAGAAAAGTGAGTTGTGTTTGGTTAGGTGACTCCCTCCATGCAGTCCGAGAGGAGCTTCACAGAGCACAGCAGAGTGAAACTTCTGTGGTTTTACTTCTCGAGGCTAATCATATGCATTTGCCTATTACACTTTAAAAATAATGTTGTGTTTTCTAAAAGAAATTGCACCTCTTCTGATATTTGAGTCTCCAGTGTGACATGAGTTTCCATGTATCAGATGTAGTCTGGGTGCTGGAATTATTTTAGTGCTTTTGGGATCTTAGTGCATTCTTATCATGAATTAGAACAGCTAAACTACAGGCTATGCATCTCCTGATGATTTAAACAAATACTTGAAAAATAGTATTTTAACTAACCAAATCTGGAGTTGTTTGTGTCCTGTTTGACTTGTATTTCAATTTCTAGAAAGACAAGTCATTGCCAGACTCTTGAGATAACAGCACCAGTGTGAAGTACAATTAGATAAAGTTTCATCTCCAAGGGGCTCTGCTGTTGCATGAAGAGCAGCTAAGCCAAGTCACAGTGGGGAGATGCTCTCAAGCTGGCTCTGAGTTTATTGTCACTGTTCAGCTACTTGAGAGCAGAATGGGCTTTAAGGGCTCTAAAGAGCAGGTGGAACAGTGCCATAAGGCCTCTAAGGAGCAGGAAACCTCAAAATAAACTGATGACCTAGGAAAAATTGCTGGAGATGTGCCACTAATCCTTAAGAGAGACTGAATGAGAAGGAGGAGGGAAATTTCTCTACTTCCCAAGAGCTTTTAGTGAGATGAGCTAAAAGTGTATTATGCTGGTGAAAGACTGGTGTGAGGGGTGGAGCTTCAAAACATAAGTCACAGTGGGGAGGCAAATATTCCTTTGATGTCCTGCCAAGGTGGACAGCAGGATCTGGAAAGCCCTGTGCTCCATGGGTTTCCCATCCATGTCTAAACCTGTTTTTCTGAATATACAACTACAGAGAAACTCAGAAGTTTAGTAGGTCACTTACTTGTGAATAACTGAGAAACTGGGGGTGAACCAGTAACTGCTGTCATGTGTTTAAAAGGCTAAAATAGGGTAGAAAAAGATGTTTTAGTGTTAGTGGGGGTTGAAATGTGTTGTTATTTCAGCACTGCTACGTCACTGAATGAGTTTGGTGAGAGAAGAGGAGGTAGATGGGCTCCCTGTAGCAAAAGGGTTTTCCAGTTTGAATACAAAGCTGAGCCAAGCATTGACAGAGAGTGAGCAAGACATCTTTCCTCACCCTACCCTCCTTCTCTAGCTGCTGAGGAGACAGCTTTTGTTGTTATTGTTTCGAAGCAAAGATTGTTCTCTGGTTCTTTGCAGAGTAGCAGTTGTTGAGGCAGTTTCTTTCCAGAGCCAGCCTCTTTCCTACACTCTGCTGACAAATCCCTCTGGGCTCTTCCGAGTGAGGCAAGAGAGTGGAGAGCTCAGCCTGACCCACCCCGTGGACTACGAGAGTGAGCACCACCTCTACCACCTCCTCCTGAAAGCCATGGAAGTTGAGAGCACTCTCAGCAGTGTGACTGAGGTACATGGATCTCTTCACGTCCTGTCCATGGTCTGCAATCCTTGGTAGGATTGCTCTGGGAACAGTTACACAGATGGATAACCCAGGACACTGTGAGGATGCTGTGGAGGGAGGAGGCCTTGGAGAACAGGCAGAAACCTGGGCTGTGATCCGAGTTCACATCTAGGCTCTACAAATACCCCTTGTTGTTACTTTTTGGCTTTGCCTCCCATCTCGGGAGTAGAGGAGAAAACACTTCTCTGTTACAGGAGTAGTGTGAGAAGAATAGCAATAGAAATAGAAAGAGGTGCAAAGATGGGGCAGCAGCAAAAGCACTGACTGTCACTGCAGTGTCCTGAAAGAAGTGCTCTTTTAGCAGTGCAGAAGCTAAAATCCATTCTCAATGTGTCCTTTTTCCTCAGGTCATGGTCCATATCACAGATGAAAACGACTGTTCCCCTGAATTCCAGCGCTCCATCTACAGCAGAGACAACGTTCCCGAAACCATTCCTGTTGGGACGTCTCTTCTGCAAGGTGGGGACCATCCTTTCATTTCAGCCCTGCCACAGACCTGTTAGTTTGTTACCTTTCCCTGTTCTGGCATGAGGAAGTGCTCTCATCCACAGGCACTGCCTTTCTAAGATGTGGATGGCAGCTTTCCTGGCCGTCTGTGCATGACTTTTAGGTATCCTGGAAGTAGAGTTGTGAGTGTCTTTACATGAGGATCGCTGTATTGTGCCCAAGGAGAGATCCAAGGACAGTTAAAGCAGCTGATAGGAAGTGGCTTAGTGTCCTTTAAATGTTGTAGCTGTCTTTTAACTCATCTGGGTAATCTTTTTGTGTCCCAGAAGCTGCTGCAATTAGTTTTTCTCTTCTTAAGGTGTTAAGAAAAAAACAGGGCTTTTTAAAATGGTCAGCTAGTTTTGTCAAATAGGCATTAATGCTGTATAACTGACTTTCAAAGTGTTAAAGGAAAAATGTTTTCAAAGCCTGTGAACTTATATTTATGGTTGTGGCTTACCAGTCATCATCCCAAGCTTGTTGTTTTTAACATGGCCATGTGTCCCTTCTGTATAAACCCTGAGTGCACAGATGACATTTTTAGAGGCTAAAATAGTATCCTGATAAAAGACTTCAGGGGGTCTGATAAGCCCTGAGAAGTGAATATGTGCCAAAGCAAGACTTAGCAAAAAGACAAAAATGTAAATTTCCCAAAGCTGGAGCTGAGCTCTGCAGGTTGCAGAGGTGATAAGAGGCTTAGCTTCCCTTGTGTAAGGGGGCTGCTTTCTCTAAATATTTTCTAAGATAGTTCAGAACTTGTAATAATTTTTAGATTTAATTGCTCTTGGGAAGAAAGAAATTGGTCAGAATAACCAAATCTTAAAATTTTCCTTAAAGAGATCAATGTTCTTCCGTCCAAAGGACTTGTAAAGCTCATCAAAGTTCCACTTATGGGGGAAAAAATGAATGCCCCATGTCCAAAACAAGCAGAATATCAAAGCTGTGCAATTGCATCCCATGTTGTTGTCTGGCCATGTGGGGTACATTTCAAGAGAAAGAGCCATCTTAGAAAAGAAAGAGTGAGATGGAAGTATAGTGACAGTCAGTGGGAATGGGTGTGTGAAGGCTGGCCTGCTGTAGAAGGGCTGAGCAGGGCTGTTGGTGGCTGCAAGGAAGCTGTACTTTGTGCAGCATGAGACCTGTGCCACTAACTCCGACTGCCAAAGCAAATATCTCAGGAAAAAAAAAGACAAACAGCTCTTACCCTTGTTGTAGTTCCTTGAGGTGTGGGATGTTGCAGCCTCAGAATGACCCACAAACAAAAATAAATGCAAATATGAGACAGCTTTTTCCATTCTGGGTATGCCTGTAGCTGTTGGTGTCAGTGAAAAAGGTAGTGTGATACATGCTTTTGTTAAAGATGTGGATGATATGAATGCAGGTTTTAGTTATTAGCCACTTTTATTTTAGGACACTTGGAATCTGAAGCACTGAGGGTGCTCTCAGAAGGGTCCTCAGCCTTCAGCTGCATTGCTGTGCCAGCAGAGCATGGCTTGGAACTTTGACTGGCACCTCAGTCAGCTTTTAAACCAGAGTTAGCTTGCACTAATCTAGTTCAGAACATGTGCACAGACAGCACTGAGCTGCTTGTGGCTGGCATATGATCCTTAAAATATCCTTTGCAATGCACACTGGTTTCTAAGATGGAATGAAATGGAGGGGAATAGAATTCCCAGTTGCTATTGGGAAGTAAGGCATGTTTCTGTCTTGTACAAGTAAGCACCACATTCCCTATTTGCCAAAAAACATTTGGGGGAAAAGAAGCATATCATTTAGCACACAGAATGTGTTTTTGTGAGTGGTTACAATGGTTCACTAATAACTGTAGATTAAATCAGAATTTTTCAAATCGAATAAGTTTTTGACGTTCTGCAAGCCTTTCTAAAAACAATGCTTAACCACTGTATTTGACAGATTTAAATCACTGTCATTTTAGTCTTTCTTGAGTTTTTAATTTATTTTGTCTGCCAGTGCAGCAAGAGAGTGATTAACTCTAAAGCCCTTGATTTTGTAGTCTGTTACACACACAAACATTTATTCACAGCAGGATTTGGAGAGATTTTAAACAAAATGTTGCAACCACTCTAAACATCCTTGTAAACAAAGATGAGTAACTTTCCACAGACAGATGTAGTTGACATTTTTTGCAACTAAGTAGAACAGCTCTTCAGTGTACGTTTGAAATCATTATCTGCTCCTTTCCTGTTGTGAGTTATGATTCTGATAGAGATGTGTTGTTTCTGCCATCCCTCTGTGGATGATGCTGCAGCAGTTTGCTGGGATGCCCACGCACTGCAATCACTGTTCTGCTTCTAGAAGGCTGTGAGCTACCACAGTGACTGGATCCCATTGGTAGAATAAGGAGTCTATTTATTATCAGTATGGGTACGATGTGAAGCCTCATTGTTAGGCAAGAAAAATTGCAAGTTAGTTGGAGAGGTGAGCTTCTGCTCTTAAAAATCACTTTTGATGCTATGCTGTGAGCTCTAGGTCTTTGTTGTGCCAATTTGCTGCTTCTGAGCAGATGGGACACTCAGCATACTGAATAAACACTTACTAGGGAGGAATGTTTAATCACTCTTGGTACCTTGAAGCACCAGGTAATTAAAAAGGATATAACTAGCTGGCAGCTAATTAAATTTGAACATGGCATTCCTGCAAAGAGCAGGAATCAGTTTATGACTGATACTGTTCAACCAATGTGCATACTGATTGTGTGCTAATTACCAGTGTTGACTGCTATTTGTACAAAGTGTTTTGTGCAGTGCTGGGATCACAGCTCTCTTGCAAATTCACCTGGCTGCGATCAGGTTGGAGCAGAGGGAAGCCTTGTTTTGATTTCTCACTCCCAGCATCCTGCTAAGTTCCCAGACTCTAACCACAAAAAAAAAAAAAAAGAAACAAACAAAAAACCAAAAAAAAAACCCAAAAAGCTTTTATGGATGAAACAGCCAGTTCTCAAAAACTAGCAAAAAATTAGAGTTGTCTTGGTGGGAAACAGCATAACCACACCTCCTTTGCAGTATGACTGTTCTGTTAAATGTGTTCTCTAATAGTGCTTGCAATAGACTGCGACTCTGGCTCCAACTCTGAGATCTCTTACTTCATCCAGAGCACTGATTTTTCCATCTCACGTCACGGGGTCATCAATTCTAACCAGAGGCTGAACTTTGAGCGAGCAAACCACATGTACGAGTTTGTGGTGATAGCTGTGGATAAAGGACACCCCCCCCGGACGGGGACAGCGTCGGTGCGCATCCGAATGGCCAACGTCAACGACGAGGCTCCTGTCTTCTCCCAGTCCGTGTAAGGCACCTTGAACACCTGCCTTGGCTTTAAAATATGCTGCTCATACATGTAACCTTAATAGCACTTGGCTAAATGGTCACTTGTTTTGTGCAACTGTAAGCACCAGTGAAATTGAGGGGTGATTTCTATACAGAAAGGCTTTAGGAGTTGGACTTTCATTTCTAGATCGTATATTAAAAAAAAAATACATCATTTGTGATACCAGTATATTGACTTTATATAGAGAGAACAGAATGCATCAAAGACCTATCTATACGGGGAATGATTTTGACTGTGTTGGCTCCTTGGTCTCACAGTGATTTTCCATGCATAAGTAGGTGACAAATAAATATGGTACTTAGCAAACACTAAAACATAATTTTAGCATCAAGAGATTGTAAGTTAATTTCATGAGCCCCTGCTTGTTTAAGACTCCTTTTTCTTTCCTATCCCTAATCAATACAATTTCTATTCTTTGCACAATTTTGAAGTATGAGCATGTTTTAAATACAAAACATTCATATATTTATTTACAAAATTAGGTACTTTTTTACATTCATCTCTCTAGTATCTGACGCTTTCCATTAATATATAGGAACATAAGAAACACTGCCTGGCAGATACTAGTCCTTTTTCTCAATTTTAGGAGATATATGATCCTATTTTACAGTACAATGTATTATGGTGCATACTGTTATCCTCTGAAGGATCCTTCAAAATTATGTATACCGAAAGTACAGGATTACAATCCTAAAATAAGTACCCTATGTTGAACAAAGAAGACCTAAGTCATATCTTAAACCAGTTTAAGATTCCATGGTTGGATGCCCAAAGCTTTAAAAAACTATTCATAATGAATGCATAGTCTTTCTGATGGTTTAGCATGGTGATGGTTATTCTGATACTCTGTGTGCTGCCATTGCTCCCTTATGTCCATCAGTTACAGGACTTTCCTTTCGGAGGATGCTGGTCCTGGCACCTTGGTGGCTACTGTTCGGGCAGAGGACCCTGATGGAGATGGGCTGCTTTATCTGATTACAGGAGGCAATGAGGAGGGCAACTTCGAGCTGGATAGACAGAAAGGTAAGGAAAGAGGTTTAAGAAAACAGTTAGTTACTGTCTATTCTGTATTGACTTTGCTCCATCTGTATGTCAAAAACCACAAGAAAACACCAAATTTATATAATCCACAAATGGGGGTGTTTTATATTGGTGAGGATTAGCTCTTTGATATGATGGTTGTTCTTCAACTATCAGCCAAAACTTGGGACCCTGGTCCAAGGCTGTGCAGACTAAGATGACAGGTTCTTGTGCTTTGCAACCAAAATACAAACTGAGCCAGCAATACAGTGACAGAGAAATGTCATGCTCACTTGATTTTGTGTATTTACGCAGTAAATTAAGATGACACTTTATGTTTCCAAATTCAGGTATCATTAAACTCCGCAGAAACCCAGCACCCAGTCTGAAAGGCCCACAGTACACCCTGAATGTCACTGCCATAGATGACAATGCCTCGGGGGGACCCACTCCTCTCAGCAGTTTTGCTGAGGTTATTGTAGGAGTTAACGACATAAATAACAACAAGCCTGTCTTTAGAGAGGTAAGATGCCTTTCTGCAGATACTCTTCTCCCATCTAAGCTATGACTGGCATAATAGAGTCTCCATAGCTACTGGTGATTGCTGGTGGGCTGAAGGATCTGTGTGTGCAGAGCAGAATGAACTTGTAAGTGAACAGCAGTCAGCTTTCTTCATAGAGGAAGTGTAAAGTCTTCATTCTCCTTTTTCCTTCCCCCTCCCTTAAAGATTGATTTCTTTGTGTGTATAAGTAATAGCAGTGACTTTCTTCCAAGTTTTTCTCACACCTGCTGGAAAAAAAAATATTGACACTGTGCAGCAAATTCATGTGCCTCTGTGTAATATTTAGGGTCGGATGTTTGGGTGTATTTTTAGTGCGCTTACTACAGTGGCAGCACCTGGGTTCTGGAGAATCAGCCTCCAGGCACGCATGTGCTACAGGTAGAAGCCTATGATGCAGACCTCGGCATCAATGGAGAGGTGAAGTATGGGCTCATGCACCGAGACGGAGCTTCCCTAGGCTTCAGCATTGACCCAGACACAGGTCAGTAGCTTCAGGTTACTGAGAAAAAGTGAAAATGGCATTGTGTTGTAATGAAAATGCTGCTCTATCAGTATGTCCATGTGGGTCCTGCTTAACAATGTAACTGCAAGGTTAGCTGTGGCAGTTTATAGGGTAAACTCTGGAAAATGCTCAGGGTATGTAAATAGCCATGCACTTTAGATTAGATTAGATTAGATTAGATTAGATTAGATTAGATTAGATTAGATTAGATTGGATTAAGGTTGTAGTGATTCAAATCCAACCTGGCCTTGAACACTTCTAGGGATGGGGCTTCCACTGCTTCTCTGGGCAACCTGTGTTGGGCAGTGTCTCACCACCCTCACAGTAAAGAATTTCTTCCTCATCTAAACCTGTTCTTCCTCAGTTTAAAGCCATTACCCCTTGTCCTATCACTACATGCCCACAGACCCTCTCCAGCTCTTGTGTAGGCCACCTTTAGGTACTGGAAGGTGATGTAAGTTCTTCCTGGAACCTTCTCTTCTCCAGGCTGAAAAATTCCAATTCAGTTTGTCTTCACAGGAGAGGTATTCCAACCCTCTGATCATCTTTATGTCTCTCCTCTGGATTCATTCCAACAGATCCACATCCTTCTTATATTGGGGGCCCCAAATACAAATTAAATAGGGAAACAAGCCACAGTTCAATAAGAAGATAGAAATGTGTTCTGTATCACTTACCTTCCTATTTGGATCATGGGTAGCTATAAAAGTGCAGAGCAGAAAGTGTGATTTTTACAGGTTAAGTTTATTCTTCCCTATAATATGGCCACAATTTATTTCTCATCTCATGCACAAATAGGAGATCCAGTGCACTGCAGGCAAAACCCTCATACCAGAACAGGGCAACGATGTCCTAATATGTGATTTATTTCAAATGAAGATGTTCTATAGTTGTTGACATTTCTATAGTCAAAATAGGAAAATGGGATATTGTTATGTCCAGGACTGTGCAGGAGACTGGAAGCGACTACAACAGAGCTGAAGAGCTGAGCATAGCAGAGCAATAGGTCTAGAAGTAGCCTCAAAAAGGCCAGTTTGAAATCTGCTAACCAGAAGAAAATAGCTGAGGTAGGGAGAGACTTGATTAGTAGGGAGGAAAACTTGAAGATTTAGAGAAAATTGTTTGATTTATCCACTATATGATTTTACCCAATTTTAATCTGCTCAATGAGGCAGCCTCCAACTCCTGTAGCAGAGGTCGCTTTGGTCACATCACTTGTGTCCTCTGTGGTGTGACTCTTCCTCGAAGTAATAATGAGCTGGTTCAGTTACTTGGACGACCACTGGAGTAAACCTTGGGAGGCCCTTCTGTGAAAAGGAGAAATTCCTGTGCTCCTGAGCCACGAGATAACAAGATACTCAGACTGAGTTTCTTACCAGGGCAGCAGGAGAAAGGTGACATGTGACATGTGACATGTAAGGAGAGACAGGAGAACTGGAGATGGTCTGGTCCAAGACATGCCTTGCAGGGTCAGTGAGGATCAAGCTCCAGGGTTGTACTGCGTGCGGTCAGAGCTTCCTTTTGCACAGGAGATGTGCAGATTCCTCTCTGCAAATTCAGTCCTGGGGCTGCGACAGGAGGTGACAGGCAGGCAGCACAGGAGGTTTCTGTGTTTGCAGGAGCCATCACCACCACGCAGAGTTTTGACCGGGAGGAGCAGCGGGAGTACACTCTGTGTGTCACTGCCACGGACCAGGCGCAGGAGCCGCTGATCGGCGTGTGCCAGGTCACCGTCCTCATCGCGGACGTCAACGACAACGACCCCAAGTTCGAGAACAGTCGCTATCAGTGTGAGTGCTACCTTGTCCCACTACTGCCACATGAATCTTGTCAGAAGGTTATTCCTCGTAACAGCAGTCAGCTGGTTAGGTGACCAGTCTTCCTTTGTTGCCCACTAAGCCAGTTACTGTTTAACCCATCATCAGTGGAAATGTGCAGAATTAACCAGTCCTCTTTAGTCATTCCAGTTATATTAAAACATTGACATAATTCACTCCTACAGATGAGGCAGATCTGATCCCTTCTCTTTGCAGCTTTTCTCTGCTCAGCTCTTTTCCACACTGAATTTTTATTTGATGTCCCAAAACAAAACATGACATCCTAGCTGGAAAATCATCAACCCTGACTAGAATACAATTGTCATCTGTGTCTCTGTAGCACATCACCTCTGTTTGAATAGACTGAAGTGGCATTTATGTTATGTCAAACAGCACAAAATCCTTGGTTTCTAGGCTGCCTTTGGCTGGGAGCCAGTGCCTGCTGTATCTGTCCTGCTGAGCTAGATTTTCCTATTTGCCCTGGTGCCATTCCCTTTTTCATCCCCACATGACATGCTTTACATCAGTCTTTTGTTTAATTTGACTTGAGGCTTCTCCAGTAGAATCCTGCATTTCATTACCCTTGGACTCTCTACATTTAATGTCATCCCCAAGTCATGAGCATTATCTCTAGTTGTTGGATTAGAACAGGTCCTTCCTTGAAAAATTGCTTGAAAGTAAAAAAAAAAAAGTGTTGCTGATACATCTGCCAACAACTTCATTTTGGAAATTTTTTGCCACTTGTGTGGAAAGGTCATGGAGGGCAAAGCAGTGACCAATGCCTTATTAAAATGAAGATGGCTTATAAGAAAATTGTCTTTAACATCACAGATGCCAGCATTTCAGAAGGATAAATTGGGTGTTTATATTTTAGGACTTTAACATGCTGGGAAATGAGCTAAATATACATCCACACTTCAGAGTTATGTACAAGGACAGAAGGAAAATTGTGTTGCACCTTTTAAAGAACCTTGTATTGACTAATTCTAAGCACCACATACATTAAAATGTGTAGATTTGGAATGGTCATTTCTACATTCTTACCAGCGTCTTCTGCAAGCCTGGCCAAAGCAGCACTGAGAAGTTGAATAGCAATGATCTTTCTGGAGAGGAATATTTTTGAGCACAGCAGGCAGCTGAGGTAAAGGTAGTGTTTGTGCAAAGATTAACCTTTCTATTCTACCATGATACATGTCCTTCAGGTGAAACTGCCCATGATTTTTCTTTTTCAAAAGCTGTGAAGCTGAGAGGTTGCATTTATAATTATGGTGGCTTCAGCACTTCTGAGGAACAGGCAGATTTTTTTTCTTTTTCGTGAACAGAGTACCAGCAAAGGTTCTGAAGCAAAGGCAGCTTTTTGAGATGACAAAACTGCAGATAATGAGGGCACGTTATGCCCAGCACTTTCCCAGCATCTCTACATAAGTAATCAATGCTTGAACGTCACAGAATTAAAAATAGCTTCTTTCCTAACAAGATCAAATGCCATTAGTCATAGGTTTCTATTCGTCCTGGAAACTGCTGGTTCTTTACTCTCAGAACTAGGATGTTGGTCAAATTCCTGATTTAGCCATGCATCTTATCATCTGCCTGCAAAACAGACATTAAAGAAATGCTTAACTGTAGTAGGGATGGCACAGTAAATGTTAAAGTTGTATCAGCAGCAAGCAGAGCACATGAAATGAGAGTACCACCCTTCCAAGTAACTTTGTCTATTTTCTTACAATGCAATTTAACAGATTTTGAATGCTAAAGACAGCATAAACACACACACATAAAAGCATAAACACAAAAAAAGAGTATTTTACAGTGTTTTTTTGGCAGTTAATTCAATTTTCATTAATCTATCTTAGTGCTGGTAAATCTCTTGTGAGATTAGCTTTGTCTGTTACTGACATGCCAAAGACAAGAATCCCAGGACAATTAAATGACACAGGGATGAGTGAAGCCAATTAAATCTCAAATTATTGTTCATGGAGCAAGTGGTTGCTGTTGTTTAAACTTGTACTGCTCCACTACTACAGACTGTAGACGTTTAAGAAGACCAAAATACAAAATATGACCACTCCATAAGTAGCATGCAGTTCTGATTATCCCACCTCAAAAATGCTAAAGGAGACACATGTAAGGGAGATCAAAGGTATCAAAATTTCTGAACAAGACATGAATTAACAGTCTGACTGATTTGCCTAAACCCAACTGCAACAGCCTTCCCACTGTCAGTTTTAATACACTGAGCTGATGGAGTCTTAGTATAAGGAAACAGCTCAAAAATATAATCAGGCAAGTACACATAGCTAGGAGGAAATGGGACTGGATGGCTGAGGATAGAGGGAAAAACTGGACCAAAAATCAGTGTAATGTAAAGACTACTGTGAAAGAAAGACAGCTGGCAGGGACGTGATAGCTTCATATAAAACTGTGCCTCACAGAAGTGGAGGGAAGCAGGAAATGACTGCTTATGATTTCCCATCATTTGGTTGGTGTCTCTTCTAGAAATCAGGTTTTAGGAAGACAAAATTAATTACTCTTCTGTGCAGTGGGCTCTTCAAATGTGTGACTTTGCTATCAGATTTTTAGATGACAATTATCTGAGCAGGTTCAAAGAAGGATTGGTGTCTCTAGAACTATGGGGAGAAAGACAGGTGGATTTCTGGGAACAGGGAGTGAAACCTAAGGAAAGGGCATAAAATGAGCTTGCCCTGGGCAGCTTCTCCAAAGCACTGGTGGGGTTGGAGACATCTTTGCTGTGACCTGAGTCTTTATGCTTTGCAATTACCTAGTGCCTCCCACTGGCAGCGCTGCCAGCACCACTCATACTCAAGATTAATTCAATTCACACAGAATTCCCTTTGGTGCCAGCCTGTTTTTATCATCAGCTGAGCCCAGCAGGCTGGGCTGTGACCTGAAGCAGTGGGCATGGATCCACTGTGGGGCTTCCCAGCGCTGCCGTGGACGGGCACAGGTGCTGGCAGCAGCAGTGTCAGTAAATCTGCATCACCTGCAGCTCACTTAACAACTCAGCATGGCAAAGGAGAGGGAAGGGGAAGCTAAAAGAGGACTACAGACACTGTTGGTGACAACACTTTATAACCTGCCTTACTGCAGAAATCTTTAATCTCTCATGAAGGCAGCAATGATATTTTACAGTGGTATTTCTTTACAAATACAGCCTGATAAACCAGAGCAGACCTGCTGACAATACTTTTGTCTTTTCACAGACTTCCTTAGTGAAGACACTCCAGTGGGGATGAGTTTCCTCCGAGTTGTAGCTCACGACAGTGACCAGGGTGTGAATGCTGCTGTCACATACTCAATGTTAGAGCATCAGCTGGAATACTTCCAGATCAACCCCAGCACAGGCTGGGTGTATGTGAATTGCCCACTACCCCAGGTAATGTGAGACTCCAAACCCTCAAATCCATTGCAGAGGGTTAATTGCAATCCCTTGGTTTGTACAAAATGGTTTTCAAGCGTCCTCTGTGTTTGTTTGGCAGGCAATGCGCATTAGCCGCTACATTGTAGCGACAGATGGAGGGAACAGGAGCAGCACGGTGGAGCTGACGGTGACTGTCACCAGTGCACTGAGCCAGCCACCCCGCTGGGAGCAGAGCACATACTGGGTAACCATCCCCGAAAACACCATTCGTGACACCAAGATTGTGGTATGTTAAAAGCATGATTTCTTACCTCCCTCTTCATTTCCACTTCCTTCCTCTCTTGTGCTCCAAGTCAGGAGTACATTGATGCCCGCTCTGCAGCCTCACTGCGTTGCACTGTCCCTTAGGAGCCTTCACTACTGTGTACCCATTAAATTTGTCAGGTGCACCTGCCACAGAATAGGCTGCCATTTCAGCTGGCAGCAGTTTTCCCAGTGAATTCTTGCACAAATGGCCCTCAAGGTGTGCTTGTACAGGAGCAAGGCTTGTGTGCTGCCAGAGAAGGAAATTCTTCAATGTTCCCACCAAGAGCCAGCTCCTCACTCCTCCATCCTCAGTGGGCTGTGCTACCTGCTTGTGTCTTTCCTAAAGCTTTTCTCAGTTCAGCACGAGAGCATGCAGTGACATAGTTTGCTTCAGACCCTTCTAACTCAAAAAAATTCCTTTTTAACTCATAGAGACTTAGTCTTTAAGGACGGTGCCTTCTGTATATTGCTGCATCATTCTTGCTTTCCTCCTTCTGTATGTAATATCCAAGCACTTGCAAAAAATTTAGGGTTAGGAGTTTTTTCTTCTGTAACTTGCTGGGTAAAATGTACAACTCACTGAAGAAAGGATCTCCTTATGGGCCAGCTTTGCTTTGGAAGGACAAGAGAGGAGACATTTCTTTTAGCTATGCTGGAGCTCTGGCTTGGCACATTTACAGTCAGATAAATTTCCTGTTGATTTAACACCTGCATCAAACCTAGATCTTGTAAAATAAGACTCAGTTCTGTAAATGTTTCTGCTTTATCTGTTACCCAAGTCATACAGGCATGTGTGTTCTTGGAGAACATACACGTATGTATGCTTCTGCCATCTAACTGAACACGTAACACTTGCAGCCCTGTGCTTCATGAATGTATGTGGTGGCTCTTTTCTTCTTCAGACCATCAAAGCCACATCCCCTCTTGGTGATCCCAGGGTTACGTATAATCTGGAGGAGGGTCAAGTTCCAGAGACTAACATGCCAGTTCGTTTCTATCTGAAGCCAAACAGAGCTGATGGATCTGCTTCTCTTCTAGTCGCTGAACCACTTGACTTTGAGACAACTAAGTTTTTCACCCTGACAGTCCGGGCACAAAATGTAGCAATGACTCCTTTAGCTTCCTTTGCCACTGTTTATGTGAATATAACAGGTAAGCTTTGCTGCTGTTCAAAACAATATTCTTATTATTTTTAGTATAATGCCACGAATTAAGGTAACATCCGTGAAATGCCAAGCCACCTCAGAATGCTTTGTACATTTCTATACTGTAAAAAGTTCTGCAGTCATTAAAAAGGTCTGTCTGAGACAATTCCTAAGTACAACTATCAAATGTGGAGATGTGATAGTGCAAAAATGGGCTGTCTGAATGTTTAGGCAGCACTCGTGCCTGGTTCTGTAAAGGTAATTAGAAAGATTTTCTTTCAAAAGGAGGAGAAATCTAGTACTTGTTCCCGAGCTATTGAAAGGAGATGAGTATTACTGGAAATAGTCTGTGCTATAGAAAGAGAAATAGCCCATATAGGCTGGGTTTATTTTGGATATCTGTTTAGGGGGTTTTGTTACGTTCAGAGTTTTCCATTGCATACTGAGATTACAGCTACAGAAACAAAATTGCAAGGATCCTTATGACAAGTGAAATTTTCAAAAATTTGATCCAAACCTCCTTATAGTAGGATCTTTTCATAAGGCTCTGTTCCAGTAGACCCACATAAAACTATAACTCTGATATTAATCGCTGCTTTTTGCAGGATTAATGGAGTTACTTTATTTAGGCAAACATTCAGATGAAAATATGAATAAATGGAGTCTCCAGCAAAAATATTTGTCTTGTCCACTACCCTGGAAATGAGAATGGGGTAGTAATTTGAAAGGGAATCCAACTTTACTGCTTCACTTTATAACGGCATTGTCCTGTCTTTCACAATCCACCAATGCAAAACCCCTTCAGGCTGTAGAGCAGAGTCTGAGCCTCATGGTAGGTTATGGACTCTATCCCAAAATGTTTTTCCTGTAGTGCAGTTATTGGTACCAGAATTTGGCAGAAACTTCATTGTGGTCGCAAGAAAAAATCCTTTTTCAGTAACTTTGCTGTGAATGAAAACCCTCCTGGTCCTCGCATTTATGGACTTAGTATATCTCTGGTCAAATCATTAGCCAGTACCTCAGCTGGGATTAGGCCACTGTCTCCCAAAAACTGCCCAATGTCTATAAAATGTCTCCTGACTGCTACCATGAGAATGGGAAAACCCAGAGCAGGATTGCTTATTACTTTAAACAATGTACATTCTTCCTCCAAGCAAAATACAACTGCAGGGGAGAAAAACCAAAGCACAGTAAACAAAAATGTCTTCAAATATTTTCTTACCATGATCCTCATCACCTCCTTTTTCAGATGTCAATGATAATGTTCCATTCTTCATGTCTTCTAACTACGAGGTGTCTGTGCCAGAAGGAGCTGATGTTGGCACATCTGTGGTTCAGGTCTTAGCTATGGACTTGGATTCTGGCCTGCATGGAGAGGTTTGACCTTAATCCAGTTCTTTTCCTCACAATACTCAAGTGGTAGTATTGTAATTAGTGAGAATGTGCAGCCAGCAAATGGCAGGGTAATGAGCCACCAGCACTTCTTACAGCACTTGTCAAACACTTGTCTATCTTTTGGATGATGTTTTATCACATGGGATGCAGGCAGAGAAGATGCTGTTCGTGATCTCAGGGTCCTGCAGCGTGGCAGCTCATCCTGATCCAGCAATTATGACAAAGCACTGCTGCAGGATTCTCAGGGCTGCTCTCAAGACAAGTGCATGTGGCTGCAGGACATGTTTCCAAACTCTTGCCTCTTTAGCTCATTTTTAAATTGACCATTAGTGATTATTGTCAGTTATTCACGGCCATTTAAATATAGTCCATTAAATACCATCATTGGTCAAACCAACATTTGGCCATCATAGTAATAATGACCCAGCCCTAGGAAAAAGCAGAATTAGGAAGGGAATTGCTCATTTTCTTTACATTTTCCTGAGTGATTTCTAAAAATCTTACTAGCTCTTCTGTGAAGAAACTCTAGCTAGTGGAGATCTGCTCTTCTGGAACTGTCATTTTTCAGCTTCTGAAGAGTAACCTGTGTGTAAAACAGTGGTGGTGCTCTAGGCATGACTTGGGGGTGGGGATGGAAATGGTGTTTTTTCAGAGAATGACCTTTATTAAACAGAAAAACGTGAATATCTTTCATTGGTGGAAGTTTTCATTTATGCAGTCTTGTTGAACAGGATCCAAATTATTAGGGTTTTTTTGGTGTTGTGGTTGTTTGGGTTGGTTTTGGTTTTGGTTTTTTATTGTTGGGTTGTTGGGTTTTTTTTGAGATCAGAAGTACAGTGGATTACTAGAAGCTGAGGAGACACCAGGGAAAATGCCAGTCCATACATTATCTCTCTTTTTTTATTCATGATCTTTCTTAACTGCTCCCACTGGCCACTGTTGGAGATTAGATATTGGGTTTGATGGGCCTTGATATCACTAGTACAGATGTTCTTCCGTTTGAGAATTCTGCACTTTTTACATCCAAATGAGCAAACGACTTAGAAAAATTGTGTTCAGATGATCTGCCTTTCCTCAGAGTGTTGCTACTTTGGATACAGAACCAGGTGGCTACTGAGGAAGCGGGAGGTCACAGCACTTGGACATACAAATGAAAATTGAAAATGTTTTAACTATTTCCTTTTTAGGAAACTAAAAACTTATGTTTTAAACGTTTTAACTATTTCCTTTTTAGGTTCACTACTTAATATTGAAAGATGCTAATGAGGATTATCAGTTCTTCACCATTGAACCTGAGACCGGAATTATTTCCACCCAGGCATCTTTTGACAGAGAGAAAAGAGCCTCTTACTTGATTGAAGTTCAATCTCAGGACTTATCAGAATCTGCTAGACCTGGTGTTCATGGGCAGCCCAACACAGGTAAGTCTAAGAAGGAATTCTATATTGGGCTTTTTAACTTTCATAGGCTTGCCAGGTATGTCCACCTCTGCCATTTCTGCTCCGTGTGTTCCTCTTGCCTCTCCTTCTTAGACACAGCCTACGTGAGGATTTTTGTCAGCGATGTGAATGACAACGCTCCAGCATTTCCTCAGTCAGTGTATGAGGTCAGCATAGATGAGGACAAGGACGTTGGAACTCCTGTTGTGACAGCAACAGCAAATGATGAAGATGAGGGTGAGTGGACCCTGCATGTCTTTAAAAGTCCATTTAGCGTTAACATGTGTTTGTGTCTTCATGGACAAGCAGTTGTCTGCATTCAGGAGACAATTCCACAATTCAAACATTTGTAAAAGTGGGGAGAGAAGTTCTGTGCTCATGTGAATATTTTCTTTAATTGGGTGCTCAGGCTTGGAGTGCAAAGGTAAGTGAGCTGGCAATGTCTTTGGGGCAGAATGGAATCACCTGGAATCACAACACTGCTGTAACTTTATACTCACTCTTTCTGGAGCACATTTTGCTGACTCCTGTGATTTCCAGATCTCCCTAGGACTCAGTTCTATTTACCACTATTGTAAGAATATCAAATGTGTGCTTTTTGGTGTTTGTGGGTTAAATACACTTGTGGAAGAATCTGACAAACAGTGGAAAATGTGGGATGACATGGCCAGAAATTAAGTCAGGAAGAAAGGGAAAGTCAGACCTTCCATTTGGGCTCATACTGACACCAGCTGTGATGGTGTGAAGCTGCCCCTACAGTCTGGTGAGACTAGATGGGCAGAGCCAGTCCAACAGCCTGTGCCACTAGTCAGTCTTTGTCTTTGCGTTTTGGTTACTGTTGTGAGCTGATCCAGCTCAACTTGCCCAAATCTATTGATTAAAAGAAGGCCAGCTGGTGACAGAGCCCAGATGAGAACCAGAGGAATGTGCTGCTGGGAGCAGGTGAGAGCTGGCTGTTCCTTTCTGTGGCAGTGCTGCATTGCCTGTGCCTCTTAGTGCCCATAAGGGAGGTGTAAAGAGGCCATTTGAAACCAGCTGCTGCACTTGGGAGAATTTGACTATAGCTGCTAGCAAGTGATGCTCAAACTCTTGCTGCAAATGTAGCCAAGTCCTTCCAATCACTAATGTGGAGCCCAGCCTTTTCCCTAGCCATCCCTACTCCTCTTGTCTTCTCATCCACAGCTGACTCACAACTTAAAAAGCTGAATATTCTTTGCCCCTAGCAGTTCACTTATTTGATTTAGGAAATGACTTTTTATAGTGGAATGCAATGTTTTTTTACCTTTCCAAATAAGTAAGCAGGAAGCACTAAACTTGTTGTTGTTTCTAAAAGTTTTGTTGTTGTTCCTAAAAGTTTTGCAGCAATCAAACAACTGCTGTTCCAGGCGGAATTTTCTAAGATTAATTCTTGCTCGAAATGGAGGACTTATGTTATATTTTAGCACCACCCAGTGGTTTAAAAAAAATAAAGGAATAGTAGAATTTGAAATGAAAGGCTTAGGAAACATTAAGTAAAAATAACTTCTTATATTTTCATAGTATGTTACTTTATTATTGGCAAATGAATGCACAATAATTTGGAGGCACACAATTTCTCCATTATCAATCAACAAGTGCTTGTCTGTGTCTGTAAATTATATTTGTAAATATAAATGCAAACCTAGCCTCCCATCTACCACACAGAAAACCTTCAAATTACATACAGAGGTCGTTCTGTGTATGTTCTTATGTTTTATCTCACACACATACACACACACACCACAACAGTCTGGGCAAATAAGGTTTCTCTTGGATACAGGTCCATTGTGCATAGCTGGATTGAGCATTCATAGAGTGAACAGGGGGCAATTGTTTCTTTCTCTTATAGGTGCAAATGCCAAACTAAGGTATCAGATCACTTCAGGAAATGTGAAGGGGGTTTTTGATGTGGAACCTGAGATTGGAACTGTCTTCATTGCTCAGCCTCTGGATTATGAACAAGAACAACATTATGAGCTGCAGCTTGTAGCTTCTGATGGAAAATGGGAAAACCACACTCTTATCATCATCAATGTTGTCAATAAGAATGACGAAGCACCAGTCTTCACTCAGAATGAATACCAGGGCAGTGTCTTGGAGGAGCTCACAGATCTGCCCGTACTTGTCCTAAAGGTAAAGCAGTTTCCACAGAGCAGGGCAAAACCTGCTTTGTTCAGCTCAATCCCATCCATGCACACAAATCCAAAAAGATAGTTATTTAGGGTGGGTGAGGCCTGGTGTTAAGAATTAGCTAGCAACTTTCTATAAAGAATAGAATAAAGTAAGCCTGGTAATTTTGCATGGTGGACTTGCTCTCTTGACCAACATAAATAACACTTGGTTTTCATCTTAAGGGTCATTTCCAAACTGATTCTGAATTTATGTGATTCAAAGTATTGAAAAATGTGATAACTTCCCTTTACAAAGAAGATTTGGCACATTTTGAGTAACTGTATAAGCACAGAATAGTTGGCATGTGTACATCATGCATGTAACAGTTAAATTTATGGTACCAAATAAACATTGCCAGAGATTGCTCTTTGACTTCAGCTGAATCATCTTCATGATTTTGTTGTTAGAGCAGTTCTTGGTAGGCCCAACCAGCAATCTCCCAAACAATCCCTGGATGCAAATCAGGAGCTGGGAGTATTCTCTGGCCTGGGCTGAATATCAGCTTGGAGATATGGGCTGTTTTCACAGCAGTCTGTTCACTCAGACAGAATCAGCCTCTGCTTGCCTTTGTATTCCAGTGCCAAAGAATTTCACAAGAAATATTTGCTCAGCAGAACAGTTATTATTTTCACTTGATTCTTCCTACAGTTTTTTTCTCTTTCCAAAATATACTGGGGAGTAGAATGTATTAGTCTGTCAAAATGTCCTCTTTTTGTTTCTCTAGGCTGTGTGTGATGTTTATTGAAAGAGTACTTGAATGACTCAAACCAATAGATGCTGGCTGTTAAAATGCACGCTATTCATTTAGTCTGCACTGCAGTAGCTGCCGTCAGTAAGAGACCTGTGATTTCCCCTTTTCTTTAAACATAAACACTTGCCTGCTGTGGCTTGTTCCAGGTTTCTGCAAAGGATCCCGACCAGGCAGCAGATCAAAATGCCATTAACTATTCCCTGCACGGACAGGGAGCCAGCAGCGAGTTCAGCATCGATGAGAGCACAGGTGAGATCAGCGCACACAAAAGGCTGGACCGAGAGAAGCGATCGATGTGGCGCTTCCTCGTTCTTGCGACGGATGAGGGCGGAGAGGGACTGACCGGCTTTGCAGATGTCATCATAGAGGTGAGGGACGTGAACGACAATGCACCCCTTTTCCTCTGTGTGTCGGACGGCTGTTTCACAGGCCACATCCCTGAGGACTCTCCGGCTGACACTCCTATCATGGAAATGACAGCAGTGGACCTCGATGACCCCAAGGCTGGCATAAATGCTGTGCTGACATACAGGATCATTCAGAACGTCAAAAACGAAATTAATTTGAACTTGTTCTCCATTGATTCAGTTAGTGGCACCATCTCTACGGTGCTCGGGTCTCTGGACCGTGAGAAGGAAGACAAGTACCTAGTGGTGGTTGAGGCCAGAGATGGAGGAGGGCTCACTGGGACAGGCACAGCCACGATTGTGGTGACTGACGTAAATGATCATGCTCCAGTCTTCCTGCAAAGCATTTACACAGCATTCGTCTCTGAGAATGCAAGTATAAACTCTGAGGTGGTGGTGGTGTCTGCTGTGGACAGAGATGAGGGAGAAAACGCCATGGTGACATTCAGCATCATTGATGGGGACAATGACCACAAGTTCTCCATAGAGACAGATGAAGTCAACAACTGTGGGTTTATCCGACTACGCAAACAGATTGACTTTGAGAAACCTCATGAGAGGGTGTTCAATTTGACTGTGAAAGCAGAGGACATGGATTTTTTCAGCATCACTCACTGTGTGATCTATGTGGAGGACTCGAATGATCATGCTCCTGTCTTCTATCCCCAGTTCTATGAAGTGGCTGCACTTGGGGAAGATGTACCAGTTGGTACCAAAGTTATTCAGGTTTCTGCTGTGGACTTGGATTCTGGCCTGAATGGGAGGGTTTTTTTCCACCTGTTAAATAAGTCTGATCCAGGTGGCCAGTTCTCTTTGGATAGTGATGGATGGCTGATGGTTGCAGGATTGCTGGATCATGAGACAGTGGCTCAGTACCAACTAATTGTGATTGCCACTGATATGGGACAGCCCCCTCTGACTGGCAGTGCCACTGTTTTGGTGACTTTGCAGGATGTAAATGACAATGGGCCAGAGTTCGAGGCACACTACAACCCGGTGGTCTGGGAAAACACAGCTTCTCCACAGGTTGTCCAAATGAATGAGAGCTCCACACTGCTGTATGCCAAGGATCGAGACACTGCTGTGAATGGAGCACCTTTCTCCTTTCGCCTTCTCAGTGACCTCGATAGCCTGACCAGCTTCAGCTTGCAGGACTTCCACAATGGAAGTGCCATGCTCACTGCACTGCGTACCTTTGACAGGGAGGTGCACAAGGCCTTCTACCTGCCCATCCTGATCACAGACAGTGGGATGCCACCCATGAGCTCCACCAACACACTGACCGTGAACATCGGGGACCAAAATGACCACCCTCATTCTGCTGGCTACATGGAATGTCTCATTTACAGCTATGATGGTAAATCACTCCCTGATCTTTGCTTCCAAGTGTGACATAAGGCCAAAAGAGGCAGCATTAAGTTTTACAGGAGGACTCTGTCCTGTTCCACATAAGCTGATAGTGGAGTTACTACTGAAGTTTGCTTAAACCCCAACAGAGAGCAGTAGGTATGTGGGGCACAGGACTCTGTGCTACTTATTTGTGGAAGAAAGTGAGCCAGCCTCGAAGAAGGAGCATAACTGGCTACTTTACTTGGCACCTTTCTGTCAAACTTGAGTAATGGTGTCTTGGTTTCAGATACAATTTTTCAGCAGCATTAAATATCAGGGGAGGAAAAAATTACTAAAGTTCATAATGTTGTTGAGAAATGATGAGTCTGAATGCTGAGAACCTTCTGTCCCTCCTTAAACCTTTTTCCTTCTCCAGACTGAATTGAATTTTAGTGAATACACCTAAACTGGACTTATATGTAAACTGCTGAAACATTCATCTAAGTCTTCAGGTGAAAAATACTGTTAGGGAGGAATTTTCTGTGAATGCCACCTGCATGCAGTGTGGGAGAAGTTATCTGTCCCTTCTTGCTTTGGCAATTAGGCAGCAGTATTCTTGTGATCTGGTGCCCCCCATATAAGCCCATCAGGAAAATAAACCACACAGGCAAAAATATTTTCGGATGTTTGCATCCATGTTGGCTCAGGGCATTCCTTCATCTTCTACTCTGCTCTGTGTCCTGTGGTTTGATAGCACATTAAATAGATTGTCTGTTGTGACACACTAGGAACTACTTCTGAGTAGATGCTGAGTAGATTCACGTTTATTTGTACTGAAACGTTGTACTGCCTGTTGCATGATTACTCAAGTTTAGGTTATTGTTAAATGGAAACCAAGCCTATTTCTATTTGCTGAGAAACTCCACCTGTCGCTTAAATACCAAACATTTTCATTAAGCCTGAATTCCATTTTAGCTGTTTCTTTAAAATCATCAGTACATCGGTTGATTTCTGGGAGGGAAAATTTAAGACCTCAGATCTTTTACTAATTAAAATATAAAGGAGAGACAGAATCAAAAGGATCAAAAAGAGACAGAATCATTGTATGTTACATTCATATCCTGTGGGAATCAAATACCATGGCATCCTGTGTACTGTCTCCTGCAAAATATCCGGTGAATGTCGCCACAGTTGCCATAGATGTACAATTTTCTCTCCTCGCATTCAGTTCCTTGGTTGTCGGGGTTTGTGCTGTTCCTTGTCACAAGGTGAAGTCCTGTATTTATCCTCTGTATATCCTTGATTCTTTACTCAGTAGGTTTGTGAATTCGGATAACTATGGACCTTTGCTTCAGAACTAAGTTTTGTAAATCCAGAAAACAGTAATTTGTCTGTTTTACTGAGAGGATGCAAAACCAGGAGAATATCTGCTGCTTTCCATCTCACCCCAGTCTCATCGTTTACTCAAAACAAGCCTGGCCTCTGTATTTTGGACATCTTCTCTATCTTGCTGTAATTTCTATCTTGCTGTAATTGCCATTGTTTTTTGCCCTTTATAACCCAGTCAGCATTTTGTTTGTTTATGCTGCCAAACACCAATCCCTGTCTGAACCACTTTGTAAGTTGGTTGGATAATGCAGATAAAATAATGAAAGTTCTCAGAGGTGGCTTTTCATTTTTCCTTTCCATTGCTTTTCATTGCAGTCACCTGTAGAAGTAAATCTATGTAGTCATACAGCAAATATGTGATAAGCAGGGCACCATGTGGCATTTGAAAACTGGTGCACATCTCTCAAGAACTTCCACAAGTATTTTTGTAGAGGTCTTAGGCTTACAACACATGTGCTTAGACCAGTACGTGTGAGAGGTCTGACTGTGCCACTTGTGTGCTGTGTTGTTCTAGGTATTCTGCCCACGACTGTACTGGGCCAGGTCAGTGCCCCTGATGCTGATGACTGGGATCACAAAATCTACCAATTTGAAGGGAAAACATCAAGGTATTTGGAGAGAAAAATAGGAGTTGTGTAAATTTGATGGGGAAATTGAGCACGCACTAAATCATAGCAAATATTTACACTGACTTTTCTTTTGAAAACAAGAGTACTAAAGCATTTTGTTGATTAGCCACTTCTGTGTGTAGGTCTCCAAAAGCCCTTCTGAGTGTGAGTAAATAACAGTGCATGCTGAACCAGTCTGTGTCGCTCATTGCCTCATGGGCCAGAATTCTAAATTCCTCTTCACAGTCATATCCACAATCTGTATCAGTGAGCCACTACAGGAAATAAACCTACTAACTTCTAAATTCCTCCATCCAAGCTCCTGGTGTTTCCACATCACCACTGGTTTTAAGACCTTATTTATACTAGATAGATAGACTTGGAAGTGTCTGGATTGTGACTGGGGCTGAGATGTACATGTGCCACTCAGAGGTTTTGACAGAAGTGTCACTCTCAGTGAATGTATCTGCACTAGGAGTTTGCACTGTTTCCAAAGTTATGACTATTGCATCTTTAGTCTTCCTGTACAGTTAACACAGCATAGCAGAAGGAAGAAACCTTCATGATACACTGGTGAAGAGTCATTAGGAGCCAACAGGAGACAATGTAAAAAAATTCTGTTCTGCTCTATCCCTTCATGAGGGAACACATCTGCTTTCTTTGATAAATAGGAAGTGGTTTAGAAAAACCATCAGTGATGATAATTAGTACTTAGCTTTTGAACTTCTCATAGCTTGTTCCTTGGCTTAACTCTTATTACAGGTACTTTATCCTTAATGATAACTCAGGTTTGCTGACTATTAAAGAAGGAACCCCACCGGGAACATACAACATAAGAGTTAGAGTCATTGATGGAGTCTGGCCAGATGTTATCTCGACTGTAAAGATTATAGTGAAGGAAATCAAAGATGATGCCCTCCAAAATGCTGGTTCTGTACGAATAAAAGGTAAGCAGTATGCTCAAGTACAGTCTATGTCTTTAATGTTACTGCTGTGATACTTAGAATTCTGCTTAGAAAGCTCTTAGACATGGGATGAGAATTAATAGTTTCCTAGGTAAGGGTTTGAAAATGCATCTTTGCATGGTCGTCTGATGCTGCATTTCTACAGAGGAAAAAGACAGCAAGGGAATGTCCTGATTTCTATACCAACTTTTCAAAACCCCAGCAACTTATATTTCATAAGAAATACTTCATTAGAACCAGTGAAATTCATCAAATTCTTTCAACCTCTGTGGAAAAGTAAAATCTTCTTAAACATGTTTCTGATTTAAAGAAATAATTTTTAAAAATTGGAAATTAATAAAAGTCAAAAAAAGTTTTAGAACATATAGATTTAGCAGAAGCAAGCACCAAAAATGTCAGAGTCTAAAAATGAAAATACTCCTGAATTGGCAGTTGAGTCCATTTTCTACAACCTTATGATTTATTCTGCGATGCTCCTCTCTTCTATTGCTGCAACAGTTGCAAGAAACCTGTGTGTCAAGTTTTCAACTTCTGTTACAGGTATCACACCAGAGGAGTTCATATCCCAGTCCCCTGAAAAACAAAGTAAATACTACCAGATGAAGAAGCTGCTTTCAGAAATTCTCTCAGTTCAACTGGAAAATGTTCACATTTTCAGTGTACTGAATAGCCCAAGTCCAATCCAAGGGGTTGATGTTTGGTTTGCAGTTTATGGTCCACCTTACTATAAAGCAGAAAAACTTAATGGCAATGTAGCAGCTTCCAGAGCCTGGGTAAGTACCCATCTTGTGTGTGAAGCCACAGCATCTTCTCATTGTGTCTATTCAGGTAATGCCCATTGCCTAGTGAATGTGAACAATTAGAATGTTGAGGGAGTAATGTGTAAGAATAGATAGTTTTGATCACTGAAATGAAACAATCCTTTTGCACTTATACTAGAAGTTTCAAATACAGATGTTTTGAAAGCCAGACTCTAAATTCTTATGAAGTCACCTAAACACAAGACACTTTTAAGACTCTAAACATGTTTTTCCTATTGAAAGGACTGTGAAACACTGTATAAAGAATGTGTTTGGCTTTTGCCTTTCTACATGATGCCTTAATGTTACAATTTTTAGTTCTCTAGTTGCAACTCCCAAACCAACTCCAAACGTTTCAAGTTTCTAGACTTAAGAGTAAAGCAAAGTAGTAAAAGCACCACTCTCCAGTACAAAACCAGGTCGGAAAACTGTTTAAAATTTTGTTAAGTTCCTTTCCCCCTAGCAAAAAAAAAAAAAAAAACAAACCCAAAAACAACAACAACAAAAAAGAATCCCAGAAACGTTGAAAAGAGTTGAATTATTTGCCCTCTTGGAAACATGTTGGTGCAGAGCTGTACCAACTCATTCTTGCCAGAAAAGATTTCTTAGCTATCCAGTGCCAATTCCCAGTATCTTTAAGTTAGAAGTTCAGATTAAAAATATAGTTCAGATGCCGTGTAAATAATGCCTCAGAACCATTAGTGATAAAAATTTTTCCACTCAGTCTCTAATAAACATTGACAGTATTTTTGCCCTCGAAATGCTTATTTGCTCTGTATTTGACTTACACCAAGACTTCGGCCTTAACAGATGCCAGACTGAGCTGCCCTTGGCTGTATATGGTGAGGTAGACATTGGAAGGAATTGGAACAGCAACCAGTTTTGAAAATAAATCAGACTTGGGCTTTTCTTTGCTGTCATTGGTGAACTTAGTGGAAAAGTCAGATGAATGCAACTAATTGTTATTGTTCTTCTTCAGCTGGAAAGCATTCTGGACATAAATATCACCCAGACTGGCATTGATGAATGTGTGACTGCAGACTGCACTCATAGCAGTGGATGCATCAGTAAGCATGAACAAAACCATGTACCAACCATAACCACAGCTGGAAGCATTTCACTGGTGTCTGTGACAGTCCTGAGTCGTGCTGTGTGTGGCTGTGCTGCTCGGGAGAATCCTCATCTTTCCTGCTCCTCATACCAGACAAACCCCTGTCTCAATGGTGGCACATGTGTGGATACTGTTTTGGGCTACAGGTTGGTAAAGCTTCATAAGGTGTGCAAACAAAATCCATGTAGTGCAGACTGTAAGGAGGATGAGTTGAAGCTTCAGGAATCATCATTGCATGTCTTCCCACTGTGGCAGATCGAAGTTTTGTTACACTTCACACACAGGTCTTGCAAAAGAACATCTATTTTCAGGTTCATATATTTTATGTTCAACGTAGTCTCTAGGAAAACCTTGGGCATATTCCAGGCTGCACCAGTTCCATTAATGCCATCCTGCAAAATGCTCTTAGTTTGTGCAGTTTGCCTTAAACATTTTAATGCTGTCAAAGGTTTTAATTATATCTCTTACATCACTTCATAACCTTTTTCCCCCACTTCTTGCTTCACTTGTTTCTCAAAAAAATGAGATCTCATAGATAATACAGTATAAAGATGAGGAAAATTATAGGACTGTACTAGCTCAGTATTAGCCTGATCCTCTTCCAGAATGTGGTCTCCAACAAATTTGCTTAAAAATAATCATCCCAATATAGGAAAGCAAGAACACTGGCCAGTCTTTGTAGCACCCTTGGTAGGGGTGACAGGACCCAGACTGAAGCTGCAGAAGCTCTTGTCATGCTAAAGTTCTCAGTTGCTGCTCAGGTATAATCAGAGAGGGAAATTTTGCTGCCCAGAAACTCCAGGTAGGCTCTGTCACCCATCATTTGTTCAGCTCTGAGGTTTCTTTGCTTCTGCTCCATCTTCAGTAGTTTTGTGTGCCATCTTTTCCTGCATCCTACCCCCATCACTCTGCTCTCAAAGGTACTAGCAATCTATGGGAAACAGAAACTAGGGAACAGGAGCACAGCTGATCTCCCTTCCTGTCCTTCTGCCCATTTCTGTTGTTCCTTTGGTTTCCCACTTACAGGTTCTGTTACTGTCATACTGTAGCTACTTTTTTTCTACAGAGTATTAAGGAAAGAACTCCAAGCCTCTCATTTGATAGTGTAAAAGAAATAAACTAGCAAGTATCTTGCAATAAGAGTGAAGACACCAAGATCTATGACTGCCACACCCCACTTTTTCTGGGTGATATTACCCTTCCTGTGGAGACTGATTGGACGCAAGCAGATTTTTTTCCCAGTGGAAATAATCAACCACTGCATTAATCTCTCCAGGGAGGTGGTGGTTTACCCAACAGTGGACACTTCTGAGCTTCGACTACCAGGATGCTAGACCATCTCGTCTAGATCATTCTTTTGCCAAGAAAAGTTGGACCAAATTATACTTGAGTCCCTTTCAACCTGGCATTCTGTGATTCTGTGATTCTATGATTCCTTTGCTTTTCCTGTCAGCATTATAAATTCTTCAGACAAGCTGATAAGTAAGCTTAGTGAAAAGTGTGTTTTTCTTTTTTTATGCTGAAGAGGTAAGAGGTTTTCATGGGCTTTATATATTACAATAAGTCCATCATTTACTCATAGAATATCATTGCAGAGACATATTATTATAATTTAGACTAAATTTATATTGTATTTGTACAAACAAGTAAAAAAATATTGTAACAGAAATTTTGCTAGTACTTTACCTGTACTATGGAGTCCTGTGTTTAAAGTGGAGAACCTTGTTGTCGGAAGAGACCTTTGCAACTTCTGTTTGAATGATGGATATTTGCTTTTATTTTTTTAATTAAATAGATGCAAATGTGCTGCAAATTTTCATGGACCAGACTGCCAGCAGACAAAACACAGCTTCACAGGCCACGGTTATGCCTGGTTCCCTCCTCTTCAGCCTTGCTTTGAGAGCCGCATCTCCCTAGAGTTTATCACTGAAGTTGTTGATGGCCTTCTGTTGTACCATGGACCAGCAACACAAGGGCAGCCTGGAGAACGGGAAAATTTCCTTGCTTTAGGTTAGCACCTTATAAACTGTTTGTGGTTGTGTGAAGGTGAGATTCCACTTAGTCCATAGGTTTGGGGCTTTTATTTTTTATAAGGCTCAGAAAGTTACTGTTGGAGAATGAGGAGAATGCACAATAGTTTGCCAGTATGCCTAATTCATATCTTTGTGTCACTGTTAGAAGCTGGACTTTTTTAAGCTGTCTGAAGATCTTCTCCAACTAAAACCTAACTGCAACAGTCATTTTGACTTCATTTAAATGAGAACATGGTTACTGCATATCCAATAAGAGTCTTTCCCTTGCAGAACTCTCTGGTGGTGTCCCATCGTTGACTGTGAGCCACAGCTCTGGTGAGCTTTTCCTGAAGCTGTCACAAAAAGTTAATGTTGCAGATCGCCGCTGGCACAATATTAAAATTATAAATGATGGAAAGGCAAGTGTAAATATGGGCAGTCCTGTATAAGCATTAATTCATGTACCTAGATATTCCTTCCAAATCCTTCCTCCCTTCTGTAGACTCTTATCAATCAATCAATTTTCCATCATGTCTGAAACAGCAGGGGCAGAAGTTTGTTAGTTTGGACATCCTCTTAGTCTTGAAGCAGCGAAGCAGAACAAGGCCTGGAGAAGTCAGTTATGAAACTGGCCATGCTATTTCCTTTGTTTAGTTATCCTGCCTGCTGCTTAGACAACAGAGTTGTGATAATCCAGGGGCTTAATGCTTCCTGATGTGATTGAGTGAAATATTTATGCTTTATCTGAGTGAGAAGCCCTGCCCCACCAAGAGACTTTATATGTATAGCACAAATGAGGTAGATGCACTTTTGTGTACAGGGAATATCTTGCTGATATAACACTGCTGAAGGCATGTGCTCAGCTCCCCCTTCTCTCCCACACAAGACAAGCTGAAGGGCAGGTCAGGATCTGGGATGCAGTCTGATGGACCTTCTGCTCTGCTAGGTTATCTCTCTGTGTTCTGATCTTGCAGAAAACTCCAAGAATGTCCCACACTCCCTCTACTATGTCAATGACTTGGCATGGTCATGGCAGAGTCAGATCTTTCTTCTGTGTGGCTCTTTAGTTATATGCCATGTGCAATAACTTTCAGATTAGTATGTGGAGTATTTTATTATTTTAACAAAGTTTCCTGCACTGTAACTGCTAGTTACTATTCTACCTTCTGCTAACTGAAAGAAAATATGTAAAAAATATATGCACATGAAAATATATGCACATGAAAATATGCAAAATATATGCACATCTCTGGATATAATTGTTTTAAATAATACCTTTTTCTAGGAAGTGAAGTTGATTCTTGACAACTGCATGAATGTCTCGTTTAGAGACGACGGCAGTGTCACTAAGAGGATTTCCCAAATGGATCTGTCTGCCTGTGAAGCCTCTGGAGAGATTGTGGGATCTCAAAGGTAAAAAAACCGCCAAAACAAACAAAAAAAAAGCAAACAAAAACCCCAAACAAACAAAAAACAAACAAAAGAGCTCAAAAGAGCTGCAGAAAAAGGCAGGGGTGGGGTGGTGAAATCTTCCAAGCTGTTGTATTTTGTGTTCCACTGATTCTTTCTTTCCCTCCCTCCTGTTCAGCATGGGTAAGCTCTTCAGTGGCCATCAGCCCCTGCAGCTGGGTGGAGTTAAGAAGACCTTGCTTTACCACAACTCACAGAGGCACTTCAGGGGGTTTGTGGGCTGCATACGCAATGTCATCGTTGATAGTAAGGTAGGGCCACAAAGATCAGTTCTGGATTGACTGCTGATAATTGTAGGCACCTGCTGTGATGGTTTTCTTTGACCTTTTCCAGGTCTATGATTTACAGCACCCTGCAGAGTCCCTGAACAGTGCTCCTGGCTGTGTCCTTATGGATGAAATGTGTCAGAGTGGTGGGATGGCCTCCTGCGGTACCCATGGCAAGTGTGTTGGTGGCTGGGATTTCTTTCACTGTGACTGCTCCCCAGGATATGCTGGAGTAGCATGTGAAAAAGGTACTGCAAGTTCTAGGGAGAAATTTGTGGTGGGGATCTGTGGGAACAGCATCAGACACACTGCTCCAATGTTCAAAGTTATACTGCCATGACTTTGAACTGAATAGAATAATAATACCGTGCTCTACTCTGGGAATGATTTAGATCTTCAAAGATGTCAAGATCCTACTAACTCTTGCTAAATAAAGATAGTGCCACAGATGAGGGTTATGTTAAGAACTGCTTTATTTTGCAGGGCAGGGAGGTGGTCAGACAGGTTGTTTTGTCCTTTTTATCACCATCTTATTTGTCAGTGGTGAAAGGGGAAATATTCTGCATTGTGCCTTTCTCCTCTGTTCATGCTGATCACAAAATGAAATTTAATGAACATGTGGGCATAACCCTCTTGTTATCTTCAGGCCCCATTTCCCATTTATAAAATGGTGATAATTGCATTTGCATCTGTCATTGGAATGAATTGCAAGTTCAGCAACACCCTTAGACCACAGCAGTGGGTGTATGTGGGGGCATGATATCAGGCTGCCTGTAACAAATGTGTTATCTTGTACAAAATCAGCATGAAATATGTATCAGAGAACAAAAGCTTCCCATGGTGGATAATGAAAACCTCAGAGTTGTAAGAAAGTGGAAAATTTTAGCACAATTCAAAAACTTAGGAAATAAATTATTTAACTCCTAGTAGCCCACACCTGTGTTCAGGTGTGGGATATGCACTTGAAGTTGGTTCTGTCTCCTCTATCTTAAAACCTTCATCAGCCAAGCAAGAATCAGAAGGGAGTGACAGGTGTTTATTGGGACTTTACCTGCCTGCCTGCAAGGTACAAATGATGTGCTTGATCATAACAGTCTGTAAAGAGCACCAGTGGCCCATAAAACTCTGGGGGCTTTTGTTGGAAGAGAATTATCCCCTCAGTCCTGTAGTTTGAGTGAGCTACAGGTGAGGATGAGCAGCAGTGAACAGCTGGAAAGGAGTCCTTGCAAGCTAGTGTTGGATTAATATGTTGGAATTTATGAATAGGACAATGGTGCATTACACATATCCTTTCAGCTCAATGCACTTAATTTTCCTTCTTGTATACAGAAAAATAATACCCTGTACAGGCAGCCAGACCCGCTCTTCTTTCTCCATCTGCCACACAAGACTTAAAAAGTGTGACAGTAAATTACTCAGTGGAAGCTCTGTCCAAGGAGGGAGAGGACTGGAATTGTAACTGGCATGGTCCGGGCCTGGAGCATTCACTGTGTAGGATGTTCATAATGACCACAAAATTGGTTAATATAGTTAAGCTTTTTCTATTACAGACAGATGATACTGGTTTATAAACATCTGCCTGGATTCAAATCCTACTCTGTTTTGCATTATTTTGCTTCACAAGCCCAGCTGCTGTATTGGTTCTACCCTTCATTACTGTGGGACAAACCAAGGGCTCAGAAAGTAATTGTTCAAAATCTGTAAGTCATATCCTGATGTAACAGAAGAACTTTGATTGGCGCCAGCTTCTTCTAATATATTGGGCTGCAAAATGCTGGTATGCAGCTGGTGCTTTATGAATGACTGTGACATGCTCACAGCAAGGAGCAGACAGCTGAGGACAGGAGTCACTGGAGCACCCCAGGAAAACCCATCCCTGCTCATCAGCTAGAGCCTGTAGCTACAGAGACAGTGAACAAGAGAGAACTGGGCTAGGAACAATAATGTTGAGGGGAAAACCTAGCGGAGAAGAGAAAACATGCTTCAGGAAAGGAAAGAGAGAAGGCAAACAGTGAAAGAAAAAGAGAGTGCAGAAATTAAGTCTCTTGATCATTTAATATTTCATGTCCTGGGAACCAAACTAAATGCCCCAGGATGAGCTGGGTACTCTTTGGATGTCTACTTGCATGACACTGATGTCTGATGAGCCATTGGTGACCCAGCATCTGTTCTGTATATTAACTAACTTGAACTAACTCTTTATTTGGTGAAAAGAAATTCCTTTTTTTCAACTAAGCTTAACCCAAAAGCAGAATTGCTGTCAGCTAATGAGATTGAAATACGTGCCTTCTCTGCAAGAGCATCAGGACTTGGGTAGTTTAGTGATGTTTGATTTCCACAGAAGTGTGCAGTGCAACTTCATCAAACTCTGTGCTGGACCCTGGGTTCCTCAGAGGGATAGGGAAACAAATAATTTCAGTGCATTTTCCCTAGTTAAAATAGCAAGCACTAACTTAATCTCTCTTTATAGTTAAAAAAATCTTGTGCCTTCCCTGAGGCTTTCTCTTGTACCAATTGAAATAGGAAGTAAAGTGTGTATTTTCTAACAGTGGGGGTTTTAACCACAGGACTAAACTACTGAAAGAAACATTTGATTCTTTTCTTTAGTTGTTTTTCTGGGGGGTTGTTTGGTTTTTCTTTTTTTTCAGAACAACATGAGCTACTTTACTGGAAGATATGATTCAGATTTTTAAAAAAAGTGTTTGGGCACAGTGTAGGAGTGATTGGGTAGAACATACAGCTTGTAACAGGCAGATTGCAAGAGATAGTATCTAATTGTCCTTTTCCTGCCCAAGTTCTGAATCCTGAATTTGTCTATTTTCTCTTAATTGCCTTTGAAGTGGGACAGAGGTTGCTTTCCATGGTGCTTCATTGTATTGCCAAAATTCCTTAAGAACTTAAACTCTGACATTAGGAGCTAGTAAATTCTCAAAGAGCAGAAATCTGAGGCAGCAGCCATTTCTGAGGTTTTCCCTTTGATTTGGTGTGCTGTGCTCAGTTCTTCCAGAATGGGCTTTTGGACGGGACAGCTGGATCCATTACGAGCCAAGGAGCATCCTGAGCACTCGAAGCACGCGGATCCAGCTGATGGTGCGCACCCGGCTCTCACACAGCACCCTGCTCAGCCTGGCCTCTGCACATGGGAGAGGACACATCCGACTGGAGGTGAGCAGAGCTGCTCTGCTACAGTGCTCTTAATTTGTCATGGATACCACAGTGAGGGGAAAAAGATGCAGTTTCTTATTAAAGACACCTGTTCTGTAATGTAATAAAGAGTAAGAATTTTCCTTATGAGGGTAACTACTATCATTTGTGTTGTCCTTTTCAGTATTACTCTTTCGTGGCATAAATTCCAGTTTGCACTGCCTGTAAAATGTCCATGTGAACGAAGAAGATTCTTCTGCTTGTCCTACTTGCTTTTTCCCTTGGCTTCTATTTCTCCCTACCTGTAAAACTTGCCTCTAAATTTTTGTTGCTGTTGAAAAAAGCTCTCTCTGGACTATATAAGTTAGAGAGAGGCTAATTATTCTAATTGGAACAGGAGTGTCAGCCGGGAAGATTTAGAGGGAGATATCAGTAGGGAGAAGACTGATTAAAGAGTTCATGTGAGTTAGAAGAGTGGCCTGTAAAAAAAAGAGTTGATAATTCCTGCACCTGCAGTTGTCTTGTGGTAACTTTTATCTGGGAATAAAGCACTTAAAAACAAGAGTGCCATTTCTATTTTAAAAACTCACATCCATTTTTTGAGGCATGACTGTAATAACATTTAGAAGTGCATTTCTGTTATTAAAGGTCTTTATCATCTTCTTTTAGGTCGTTGAGGGTTTCTTTAGTGTTAACTTCAGTTTGGGGGACAAAAATCACTCTTTGAAAATGAGAACATTACGTATAAACAATGGCCAGTGGGTTCTTCTGACCATGGAGCGCTACAACAATGAATTTACCCTGCGTGTTAACAGTGGTGGAGGTGATCAAGAAGTCACTTCTGTCTTGGGTGTGAATAGATGGTTTGAAATGGATTGGGCAAGCATTGTGCTAGGAAACCACCTTCCAAGTCATTCAGAGAGTGATTTCCAAGGTAAGTGATATGATGGATTCCTAATAGGGGGGAATTAAAGCCTGAAAGTGGCATCTTTGAGTGTATTGGATAGTCTGAAACCCAGGTAACAATTCCCACATGGACTACTATGCCCCTCCCTTACTGGGGAATTCAGTGTTCAACCCTATGTGCCATTTTATCTGGTTCTAGTGAAGATGTGAGATTTCCTGTAAATATTAAAAAATAGCACTTCAGTTTTTTGTTTCATAGAATCATAGAATGGATTGGAAGAGGTCTTAAAGATCATCTCGTTCCAAACCCTCTGTCAGGGGCAGGGACACTTCCACTAGATCAGGGTTTCCCATTCCTCAAGCAGTGTACTCATGGTGTCATCTTCACTCCTGTTTTTGCCTCAGAAGTATTTAAGGAA